ATATCAAAATACTAACAAATCCCCATATCTATTTTTATAAGAGAGCTGAAAATTGAAATTAAACAGTTTACCATCTTCATCATCATAATCAATGAAGCCTTCATCTTTCAACAGATCACCATTAGCATCGTACTGCCTCTGACCTTGACCTTTCTTCTGTATATATAAGAATCGTTTCTTCTTACGCCCTCGTTTCTTCGGTTCCCTGCTTCGGTCATCAGAATATGTGGACGACCTCACACTGATTAAGTTGCTGAATTTTCTCTTCTTTCCATAGTTTGGATCTATGAATAGAAACAACATTTCACTGAATGACAGCAATATAAAAATATATATATCTTATTTATTAACCAGGCTATAATACACTTGTCAATGTTAAACTGTTGGTTTAAACATATTTATTTAAAAGCTCAATTGCAAACAAATTCTTGCAACTTCTTTTAATCACTTTCAAGTTCTTCCTGGAACCAACCAGTACTGGTGTCATACTAAGAAACATGTTCGTGACCTGATAAGGGCTGGAACCCATGATCCCTGGTTTGAGGTACAGACACCTTAACCATTAGGCCATCGCTCCCCATGAACTGTAAGAGCTTTCCACTGTAAATTTTGACACCATCAAGATGAAAATTTGAAGTTAATCTGTGGACAGAATACTGCCTGAATATACTGCACTGATGTACTTGCTAAATTATACCGCTGATAAAGGGCTTTTGACCTTTTGCAGGGCATATTTCCCCTGCAAAATTCTATAAAATCATGCAGTTTCTCTTTTAATAAAAACAATTCTTTCACCTTATGCAAAAATACTGTTATTTCCCCCCCCCCCAAATTAAAGGGAATGGCCTCTTCCCCTCCCTGTGAAAAAATGCCACTGCTGTTCACTTTCAACTCCAGTATTACAAGTGGTAAAGCTGTATAGTTAATAGAATTATTAATGTACTTATAAGAGAAATGGTTATGTTGTACTTTTAAGAGAATTGGTAAATGTATTTATAAGAGAATAGGCTATGCTGTATTGAATACAGAATTAAAGATGACAACTTACTTGATTTAGTTTTTGTCAGCTGTTGACAGTTTTCAGGGCAGTTGTTACGCACTTGTACAGGACTGAACAGGTACGGGCAGCATTCCAGCTTAATGCACGTGTTTCTACAGAAATCTTCCAACTGTGACTCAGTCTGACATACCTCCACAACTGCCTTGTACTTCTTTCCCTTATACCTGGTGTTAATACAATAAAGTTTTATTTTTTAAATTCTGTATGACACAAGACATAAACCTGTGCGCTTTCATAATATTGTAATCCATACAGGAGATTCTGTTTTTTTATCTCTGACGTTACGATGGGCTAAGCCACTCTTTACTAAGCGATAAATATAAGATATCTTTATTAATATGTTAACCATATTAAATTGACAAATACTAAATCATGTTTTAAAATACAATTTAATTAAAGGAACTCCACTTTTCTTACATATATCAACTAGGGCACTTAAAACAGAAAGATATCTATGAAAGAATATAAAGAAATATACTTAGAATTAAATTGAAAATCATATTTTTGTGTAATTCTTTGCCCAATTTGAGTTTAAAGTATTTAAACTTTTTTCATTTGGGGTCATTTTGCACAACAATTAAAATGATTAGTCAGGAAAAACAGACCAAGTGACAAAAAAAATTTGCATACAGATTATTGACAATGACCTAAATCAAATGGTACAAAAATTTTGGGGAAAAAATCATTCCAATGCCGTCAAGTCAAAAAATCTCGGTGGAGTACCTTTAATGTAATTATCCTTAGTAAGGCACAAATTTCAATAAATAGATTTCATAATGTTATGCTGCACATGTACATGCTTTGCCTTTGTAAAAACATTGTTTAATATCTACTTAAAGGCCCATTTTGCCTTCGAAATGCTATCATTTTTATTTCTCAAAAACTCTCTATTTTTTGTATCTTGTTACAGTTTCCAAAAATTTACTCATTTCAAACATACATGTATATAAATTATCCTTTACTTCTTTTGTTTTGTTGGCCATGGGTATAATCATAGTGAATACGTATTTTGTACAGAAGTCAAAATACTACTTTGTTTACATTTCGCTACCTTTACAACACATTCAGCACATCTTTCTTTAGTTGTTAAACATCTAATGTGCTCTGAATCTATTATTGAAACATGACATGTTTGACATTTCTAAAGAATTAAAAATATAGATTTCTGAGGCATAATGTGAGGCATGATGTGCCTTTAAGTGGTACAAATGAAGCCAATTACTGTTGAGTGAAAAGGTATGAAAGAGTATGTTAAGCCAGTTACCTTAATATATACACAACATAAATTTAATACAAATAATAATATTGAAAAATGCTTTTTTTTTTAAAAAATATGTCACACTTACTTTGCTTTCAGAATGTGTGCCTTCATACTCGGGTTGAATGGTCCTTCTTGTTGGATCTCTTTCAATGCTCTACAAGGCACGTATGCTATACTCACTAACAAACTTAATACCTGCAAATATATGATAATTACTATACACATATAGTGTTAGATTATACAGAATTTATTTTAGTTTGATTGTGTTGGAAGCTATATGCTTATCATACATTCTAATTTGTTCCAGGAACCAACCAGTACTGAGCAATGAGTACAAGGAAACAATCATTTGCCCCTGACGGGGTTTGAACGCATACCGCTAGCTATACTTAGACAAGAGGGATCAGTGATCACATGTGTCGCCTCATGATGGCCAATTTCATGTTGGGACAAGTTTTGTGACAGACGGAGAGACAGACGGACAGTGCACAACTAGACTTGGTACTGATCATTCCTGTAAAGTTTGGATAAAATTGCACCAGTAGTTTATGAGGAGTAGTCCGGACAAAGGTTTTGTGTATCTAGCAACACACAGAAAAAAACACCTTTTTATCAAAGTGCCATAACTTGGAAAAAAATCATTCAACCGGAAAACCCATGCAATATGCTCAAGAGCTACAGATCAATCCTGTAAAGTTTCATTGAAATTGCATTAGTGGTATAGGATAAGTAGTCCGGACAAGCTTTAAAAATAAAAATTATTAAAGGGCCATAACTCTGACAAAAATCATTGAACCGGAAAATGCTGACAATATGCACAACTAGACTTGGTACTGATCATTCCTGTAAAGTTTGGATGAAATTGCACCAGTAGTTTATGAGGAGTAGTCCGGACAAGTTTTGTGACGGACGGACGAACAGACGACGGAGAAGTGATCCCTATATGTCGCCACTACTCTGTAGAGGCGACACAATAACCACTCAGCCATGCCGCCACACAAATAGCATCCCATGTTGATGGATCTCTAACAACTGTGATAGACCGTTCCTGATTTTTTACAATATTTAAATTTTACCTCCCTTGCAAAAAGTGACAGCCATTTTGCGGGTCAATATTCTATATACATGTAATTTAATTGACACAATATAAAAACTTCATTCTAACACTATCGGAATTTTTTCCATATAGACAAAGAAGGTCGAAAGCGTGCATTATTCTACAACAATGCACTCGCCGTTCTTATTATCTCCCTGTGTATTTTCACATTGAGGGCGCCATTTTGTTTGAAAAATCTGATAAATAAAAAACAATTGTTGTCGAATTTTGTTGTGAAAACTATCTAGAATGAAAGAAAATGGTCTAACTAAGAAAATGAATCCGAACACCAATATATTTTATTCAGTTGTCAACGCTGTACAGACGTTTAAAGTGTTGTTTACGTGACGTCACAATGTAGCGCCAAACAGTAGTGCAAAACAATCAAATCATGTACGCTATTTTGATATCGCAAACAACTTAAGTTTTAAATTTATTTCACTTTTAACAATTTGTATTTCGCTTGAAAAATTATAAAGTGAAATAAATTAAACAAACAAAGTTTTATCAACGTTTTCAAAATTCGTTAGATTCAAAATGTTTCTACACACAGTAGATTTAATGACATTTTTTTCAACCCACTGGAACAGCCTTTAAAGAACGTTTCTTTTGGAAACTCAGGGGCGAAAACAAATTTAACCACCAAACGTAAAGTCCAACTTTATAATAATAATTATATTTTTTCTTGACGTGTTAGAATGGAAATAGATATTAATTCTTCGTGCATTATTGTATATCCTATACCACTAATGCCTTCGTGATTATATTACTACGCATTTGAACTCAAAATGTGCATTATTCCACAGACACTTGGGGTTTGGAGCTCAAAACGCCTTTAAAATCCAAATAAAATGCATATTTGTCAATCCCAGCACATGTACTGATCATATATATCAAAAAAACTTAATATAAGCCGTTTTGAAAAAATTTCAAATTTCAACATCTATAATAATACACAAGATAAAAATGTTCGCCGGAAAAAATCCGCACCCCTACCGTCATAATCACCATGTATTTTATTCCATTTCCAATATTTTCACATAATCCTTTGGTCCATCGACACAGAAGATATAATTCTTCACGATGGTCAATTTTTAACTTGAACGGTAATATAAACAACACAACAGCCGAAATAAACATAAATATTATCGCCGTTTTCCTTCAATGACATTATCTTTCGATAAATTCAAACGTGCCAGTCGGCTATGGCCGAAGCCATCCGATTATGTGGTTCCCACACTTAAAAGCGCTGCGCATTTTGCACACGGCAAAGCTGCGGCCACATAATTGGTTGGCTTCGGCTTATATTAAGTTTTTTTGATATATATGATCAGTACATGTGCTGGGATTGACAAATATGCATTTTATTTGGATTTTAAAGGCGTTTTGAGCTCCAAACCCCAAGTGTCTGTGCATTATTCTACAATTATGCACTCAGAATTGATATCTATTTCCTAAATATAAACAGCTGATTTGGGCGAATTATTAAATTCTTTTAAACACATGAAAGAAAATTTAATTATAGTACCAGTATGTTAAAGATTTTTTATCATTTTTTCATGAAGATGATAGAATTATGATAAATTTTTATCTTATTTTAAGCATTTAATATATTGGAAATGGCCCTAAAAATGATGGCCAGGGGAGGTAATAACTGCTATGTGAAGAGCAACTATTATTACGCAGTATTCAAGATAATAATTCCACTGTACAAGGACATAAAAATAAAGAACCTATTTCCTTATAGACTTCAATGCTAACTGAGCAAACTTTTAGCTGTTTAAGACGTGTAACTAGATTGTACAATAAAGAAATTTACCAATTACAAAGATCTGGAGAAAGGGTGAGCCCTCGGATGCATAAATCAAAACAAAATAAGATGTAAAGCAGACTGTTTGATTGAGTCAGCACATCAATGATAATGAAAAAGAGCAACATCCCTCATGGCCCCTATCAACATTTAAAAGAACCGGAATAAAGTATCCCAAAGGACAAGAAAATATTTCGACACCTATTACAAGTCACAAATATATAATTTTTACCTCTCTTAGAACAAGATCCATCGGCCCTGGACCAACATGCTTCGGTAAATCTGATATACGACCTTTGCTTAAATACGGACCAGAGAAACATCTGTGATTGAAGTAGATTGTTGGGCACCAGGCACCTAAAATGTTTGATAATCCATTAGTGTAATATGTAAAATACTTTGGAAAAGTATTTAATATATGCAGTTAAAAACGTAACATGAGGTACTTTGCTACAAAACTTACTCTTATAATTAAAATTTCGAAAGAAACTACAAAATTATGTTCCAGCAAATTAATCTTATACATGTATATCCATACAAAGTCCTTATTTGGTTTTAATGATGGTTTCAACACATTTTTAGTCATATCTGGGTGAATGGTTCAACCAACCATCTTTCCTGGATAACTAACCAGTAATTTCTCATTTCTCCCAGTGAAGAATTCTCATTCCTCATTTCTGGATCAGCATCAAATTGCAGATGTACAAATTCTTTTGTTACTTCAATAGATTTTTCTATAGCTTGTCTTAATACCAACATCAAGTTTATACAAAAAATCTTCATCAAATTATTTCTTTTACAAGTTTTTTAACAATCCCTTTTACAAGACATGGTTTTCATGCAACATATTGTATGAAAACAGTTAACTGACCTTTTGTCTGACTAGATGTTATTGAGCGATAAACTTCTTCTGTTCTACGTCTGGAATTCAGTAAAAATTTAAAATCATGAATAACAGTTGAAATAAATTGCTAAAAGTGAAATATGTCTGTGGTATATGTCTGTATGAAAGATAAAATCATTGCAGGAGAAGTTTCTTTTACTAAGAAAAATATTGGTAAGTATTTTGCTTGCAAAGGGTCATACTTTACCATATACACAGAAACTATTTACAAGCAAGTTGATAGTTTTGTAGTTTCAGGATTAACATATTTTTTAATAGTAGTTAAGTAACTAGTAAGCAAAATATTTGCAAATATTTGTAGACTGAATGTTTCTCAGAAAACCTTTGCAACCTTAGCAGAGCATAACCCATTGGGAGACAAAGGTTTTGGCTGTTACTAAGAGGTCTTGCTCTGCAGAGGTTGAAATTACTGTGTTGAAATCTGTGCTTAGGAAGAATTTTAACTGTTAATGTAAAGTGGCAATTGCTCTATAGACAGCTACTCTTTGAGTGTGCACAGTACAGTCATAAGACTACTTTTCAACTTAAACAGTAAATGAGTATGCAGAGACTAGAGAGACGACCCAATTTTACTCAACTATATAGGTTCCTTATCATAAAGTGCGGACTTAATGGCAAAGGACCCCAAAAACTCTATGTATATATCATCTTCGGTACAAAAAAAGAGATACTTAGGTAAAATAAGTTAGCTAGCTGGATTCTTTTCTTAAATGTCATATTATGCCCCATTTTAAAAATTTTATTACAAATATAAGAAGCCAGCAAGAGTTTCCTTATCAAGGAAAATAATATCTTTATATTAAGAACATACTCTGACATGCGTCTTTGTCTCTTTTTCGCCTTTATCGGTGGTTTAAGCTGATAGTTATTACTCTCACACCACCCAACAGGGAACAGATTGTGTGAGTCTATGTCTTCTATATGACTAGGAATGTCTCTCATATGATCTAAATGTATCCATAGCAACGGACCAACGATCTTGGTGATGGTGGCAGCACATATCTGATTGTGATTGTTGGGGTTGACGGCCTCTAATTTCATACCTCTCTCAAACTCATGATCCTCTGTTCCCTGTTTTAAAAAATTGTGACTCATTAGAATTTATATCAGCAGTACAATTATTTAAACAAACAAAGATATATCATAAAGGATGAGTGTGGGTATAATACTGAATTTATTGAGTGAGTAATATGCGAGCCTCTGAAGAACTGTTTACAGAATCACTTTATATTGACATGCTAATAGTGTAACATTATCATTTACCACACCTTTATGCTATGCTTGTATAATGCAAATGATGTCACATCAAAATATATGCATGGCCAAGTTGCAAAAGCAACACAGGTATGTGATAAATCAATTGATCTTTATAGCTACATCACCTCCTTTTTATACAGATTTTAACATAGTCATATATCGGCAGTAGATCCACCTCATTGACTTTCCTGGATAACTAACCACTAATTACCAATTTCTCTGCAAGTGACCGACCATTAATCCCACATGATTTCAGAATCAGCAGTGGGAGAAAAATTAACAATATACCTCAAAGGTTGAACTCTATCAAAATAGACTTTCCTCCAAATTATGCAAGTTCTGCCAAAATCTAAACAAAAATTACTCAACCTTTTCTTGGAAAGCTACACAATACATATTGCCCATAACCAAAATTTTTCGAGAAATATGTGACAAATCAGACATTTTATCCCTTAATATCTATACTTTCCCTGCCTAACGATTTTTACAGCCAAGTAATATACATAACAATTAGTTTTTACTTTTACACACATCCCTATTGTTGAATTATAAAGAAATTCATTAACTGATGCATCCATTGTTTGCAAATTCTTCACTTTCATGAAAAATACAATCAGATCCATGAATTGTACAGCTAATGTAACCTTGGTTATACTCAGGTGCCTGCTCATGCCTGAAATAATTTGCATGCAGGGGCACCTAAGGTTTTCTTCCACCAGTAAAGCTGGAAATTGCCATATGACCTTTTCAACATTGGCTTGACTTAAAACCCAATCAATAAATCAATCAATTGAGCAATCAATCATGATCAATCGATCAATCAATCAATCATAGATAATGTAAGAAATTAGAACTTACAGAGTGAAACAACTTCTCTGGAGCAGCTTTAGCATTACACATTGACAAATACTCTCCCCAAACAAAATCTCCACCACTCCAACCTGTAATATTATACATGTAAATACATATAAGCACAATCAATCAATCCATTGATCAATCAATCAATCAATCAATCAATTTTTACTTTTTCTAATGGACTTGCCATGTTTTGAGCCTGGAAGTAATAATTGTTTTTAAATCATAAAAGATAAGATTAATCAGCTAACAGTATGACACCAGATATACATTACATCAGCATAAGCTGGCATGACTTGAAACTGGTCGCAAAGGAAATAATCGATACTGCTGCCAGAATCTAAGAAACAAAATGTTTGTATCAATTATTTTTTTCGTCTAAACTCAAGTCTAAGAAATAATCTCTTGTCAACAAACAAATAACTTACCAATAGGTGGACTTAGACGAATTCCTTTACACTGACACCATGAGATAGGAAATATTCCCAGATACTCGGAGTTACAGCAGATCTGTATGTTCTCATGTTCGATCCTCACATCGTCCATCTCAACAATGAAGTAGTACTTGTTGATCACCTTGGTTACGGTGGCAGGACCGATCGTATTCATTCCTGGATTTAACGCTTCAAGTTTCATCCCAACAGCAAACTGATGAGTCTTCAATATTTGTTGATCCTGTAAAATGTCAGACAATATGTCAAATAAGTAATAGAAAGAGTATTGAAACACGAGGCTATCTGATTTGTACGAGGCGACATAGCCCCCGAGTATAAATCAGATTACCGAGTGTTTTGATGTTCTTTCTCTTTTGTATCACAGTCAAAAATAAAAGCACGTTCCCTGAAGTCACAATATGAAACCCAAGATAAAAAGCAACCAATGAACAAGCATCTGAATATGATATTTCTCTCGCTATCCCTTTCTCTGTCGTCACAATATGTAAACCCCATACAAAATGAACCAATTAATGGGCATGCTCTGGAGTGCGGGTAACTAATACCCGCACTCCAGTTAACGCACTGTGCATGTATATGTATACAATTTAACTCTTGACACATTTTCAACAGAAAGGTCCCCAAACTATGATACAAGTAGGTTTTGATTTACGACTGGTCTTAATATGTTTGTACATAAGTGATACTAAGATTTGATGTACTACAAGTCTAAATATATTTGTATATAAGTGCTTTAGTCACATCCTATTTAATTTACTACCAGTCTAAATATGTTTGTATCAAAGCGCCTAAGTGACACCAAAATTAATTTACTACCAGTCTATGTTTGTATGTAAGTGCCTAAGTTAAATTAAGATTTGATTTACCACCAGTCTAAATATGTTTGTATGTTGGTGCCTCAATGATACTTCCTATAGCTTTTTTGCAATTTCTTTGGATACAAATGATTTTACTCTGCAGTCATAGTAGAGGAAGACTTCAATATTCTCTTATTCAATTAATACAGGAATTTACATGCAACCAAATAGAACCACCACAGACCTGTCAGCCATTTACTACCATCCGGTTTTCAAAAGGTCAAACAGCATTTAAGTTAGATACAACAGTACACCTACCTTAAACACATCCTCGGGTACACCATCCTCCTCACACTCTTTTAGAGCTGCCTGTAGAATCTCTGACCAGTTTTCATCTGTTTGTTCATCACATATATCTACAATTATATCAAAATAGAATCAAGTCAGTTTGCTGGTGATCCAAGATAACAGAAACAAAAATCATAGCAAAGTTGTTGGGAATTAGAAACAAACATATTATAGTGTGTTAATGTAACATGACATCCTGTGCATACACTACCTTACACTACATTATTTTCTACATTAAATTATTGATGTTCATATTCATATATAGTAGTTAGTTAATAAAGGTCCAACTTAGAAACCATGACATATTTTGTTTATTCACAAATAATCCCTGCAATACTCACCTTTATTGGCCTCATTTCAGAAATAGCAAGAGTAATTTCATTGAACCTTCTTTATCTAAATTCTTCTCCTATCCGAACAGTATTCAATTATTTATAGTCTAAAGACCTACATTCTATTTTAATAACCTTTCCTCTGTAGCTGGAAATAACCAAGTTCTTACCTTGTGGAGGTTTGTAGACACATCCATGCTCACTGGCCCAGCCAACAGGATGAAGTCTTGGGTCTAAGTAAAACATCCAAAAATGTTTGGAGGCAGACTGGGTGCTTTCAAGCCTCAGGTACAACCTTCCTCCTACATTCTCTAAGATCTGGACCAGCCAGACATGTAGAGGGTTCAGTATATCCTGAAGTTCAAGTCTCATACCGCAATTCAACTGGTCAACTGGACTGCACCCAGTACCCTATAAAAAATAATTAGCAAAATAATAAAAAAGAGATTTCTTAGATCCATCTAATAAAGATTTTTTGAGGTAACACCATTTTTGTTCGTGTTTCAAGCCACATCAACACTACTTAGGTCATATGACAACTTTTTAGTTTTTATGGTGCACAAAGACCTTAGGTGGCCAGCTGTGCATTAGTTTTAGGCACGGAGACCCTTAAGATCATATCAATGTTTTCCAAGCTTTACTTGTCAAGACAGACAAGGTGCTTTTTAAAACCAGAGACGGTAAATCATCTTTCTCATATAAAAGAAATGAATGTGTATGGGAGGATTTAAACCTAGAGCAGTACAAGACATGATCTGAAATCAGTGGCAAACTTCTTTTTTTTTTTAAGTTAAGGTAAAAAGTACAAATATTCCTTGCTTAATCATCAGGTACATGTATGTCAATAACAATGTGAATTAATAAATGACAATAACACATTATCTCACCTTTTCAAAGAAATATGAAGGTGCAGTTCTGGCCCCTGTTAGTGACTCTAGCAGAAATACTCTCCAATCACTAACTCTGTCCCGAATATCTGTGGAAGAAAATTAAAACAAAACCAATATGAAGTGTGGTGCATTTATTTTTTCATGATTATAGATTTTTAAAATTTTTTTTGGCTATTTATGAGAAATTACCTTTCAATACAAAGATATGCTCATAAAACACAATGTCTTGAACCCATATATAGACAAATGGAGAGACTTTCTGAAAGTTGAAAATTTGATCCTCAAGGTCAATCTCTTTGGAGGAAAAGTTAATTTTTCCACATATTGAAAAAAAGCCCTTACCAAAGACTAAGTACAAGGTATCTTGCTTATAAAAGATTAAAGTCATCAGTAAGAAAAGAGAGACAAAATATGAGAGCAAAATAAAATGCCCCGTGACCAATTAATATGGGCATAAAATCATGCTATAAATATCACTAATGTTTAAAATAATCCTCATAAACTAACATAAAACAACTACTGACCATCTGGTGGTTGTAGATTTTTTCCATTCTGGGCCGACCAGCCTATCGGATGTATATCTGTAGTGTTCAAATCGCACCAGAAGTCTCCGGAACTCTCCTCGCCGTACCCGTCGTATCGTAACCTTAACAACGGCCCACATGTCATGAGAACCGAGGCTACCCAGAATGTAGAGGGATCAGATTTGTTAGGAACTTCCAGTTTCATGCCTCTGATAAAACCACTCTGTAGACTACATTCAACCTATAAATAAAATTAAAATGATTGCAATAAAACGAACAATCACCTAAAAGTGAAAGATTCAAACTTTGTATGCAATAAACTGAGCTAAATCAATTTTAACTTTTTGAAATCCCTTATAATAACAATGGAGTGAATGGACATTTTTTTTTTAATTCTAAGCAAGGCAAATACATTTTCGAACTAATTTAATAGTAAAAGTGATAAAATTTTTTAAAAGTAAATCGTTAGCTCATTGTTAGGATTCAGACAGGGCTTTTTTCTTTCCTGTTTGAAAATATACTATGCAATTTCCCCCCAAAATCCAAAGGCAAGGCTACTTCCCCAACCTGTGAAAAAACTCTGAGACTACAAAATACAGACAATAACACATGACAACTACATGTTTATCTTCACATGTAAAGATCACAGTGCTAAAAACATATCAAATGATTCAAATATAAGGTTAACAGTTTTGAAGTTGATAAAATTTCCTGTTCTTTAACTAAACCATTAGCCCTAATTTGTTGGAAATGAAAGAATCATTACTTATTGCTTTTTAATAGTGTATAATTTTATCATTTTTGAAAATGAGAGTACATCCATACATGTTTGAAGGCTGTGGGAGGGACTGCAGTAGTTCCAGTCTGCTGAAGATAATCTTCCCAAACAAATTCTGGCTCCTCATCTTCTCCTAGAAATAAAACGCACAGACATCGCATAATGTTGTAAAGAAATGAAGCTAAATAAGTGGGTTTTTGCAACATTAAATTGTAAATACCTTAATTTCACACTATGAATGGCTTCTTAGAAGCTTAAAAGTTTAGAACAAAAGAAGCTATTGAGATCTATCCAAAGGATCTTGTTCAAAACCATTACAATTACAAAATATGCATTCTTTAAATTTAAGCATTAACCTATATGAAAATCACAAGATTGTTTTTACCTTCAAAGCTTTGTTCATGAGCTGTATCATCTTTAAACTGAGCTGTTTCGTTATCAGCGTCTACATCTGTACACGTGGGCTCACTACTCACTATATCACAGCTGGACGGGGTATTGTCCAAAGAACTTTCTTTAAGTGATGTGAAAGTAACAGGTGCTTTGTCTTTGATGTTAGTGGCCTTTAACTTTAACACAGTATGATGAAAATTTTCCCAAGTTATACTATTACTATCGTCAGTGTATATATCGTACATGTCGGAAGCTGTAGCCGCGTCTTGGCTATCCTCCGAACTACTAGGCTGACTACCTGTATCCGCCATTACAGAACCGTCCATTTTCATTTCTACATTGGAATGTATACTTTCGGTATCTTTCACCTCTTCCATCTTTCTTCGACTATTTTGTTCCAAACCCTCGTCCATTGGTTCAAAAACTTGATCCCCACTTTCAGAAATATTTTGCGACAGAGCATCATTGCTTGCCTCAGGGTCACTGACTGTATTATTTGTAGTGTGGTCAGGAATTTCAGCATCTTTTACATCATCTTCATCAGTTTCAATCAGTGCTTCAATGGAATCTTCGGAATCAGATGTCAAAGGTTGAATCTCCAAATAAGGTTCAACACTGTCTTCAGAATGAGTCTAGAACAGAAATGAGAAAAATGACGGTTACTGATGGTGGTGAAAATATTGGTCAAAGGGGCTCATTTGAACAAGTTTGGTAAAGAGTAACTCAACAAAGCTATGTTACAATCATTAAACCTTTAGGCCGTATAGTGTTGCACAAGATTTTTGCCATGTCAGTCTATTCAAAAGTAGTGTGCACTATAAAGGTTTATTTTGGTAGCTCAGCATGAGGAATGCTATATAAGCTGGAGTTTTTAAAATTTGGTAAACAATTTTATTAAACATTTTACTTCCAGTTGCCAGATCAAATGTCATTTGAAACTTAACTGTGGACAGTCACTGATCCTTCAAAGATTAGAAAAAAACAAGGATAACATAAAATTTGTAAGAAGTTTCAATAACAAGCTAAAATCTTATTCAATGTTCACTGAATACTAAACCCTTCAGCATAAACAAAAGAGAAATTTCAAATTTGGACTTGATTCAACATTTAGCAAAATTCTTAATTCTTTACAAACAAGAGCATTGGTTATTTATGACCATATTTAGAATCATTAGACCAGCATTAATAGAATTTTCAAAAAATACTTGAAATGTTTGACGGCAAAAATCAAAACATGGTCTTGGGCTATTTTGCCTTGTATTTTGCCACTACTTTATACCAGTGCACACCACCTGTTTTCCTATATTTAAAAACTGTTTCAGATAGGTTGAACACTTGCCTGATCTTGCACTGATGTATAATGTTGCTGTTCCAAGCCGTCTTGCCTTGATTCCTGGTCTCCTCCTTCCGATAACTCTTCTGAAATGTTTATATTCTTATCTTTAGTTAATAAACTAAGCTAAGGGTATTCATGATCTTAATGAATTATTCATTTCTATGTAATAAAATATTAAAATTGTAATAAAAATATTGCTCCATGGACAATGGTGTAATATGATCATTTATAAAACATTATTTTGTGAAAGGCATCTTTATCAACCAAAGACTACATGATATTAATAATTAAATTATATGAATTTTTCAACCATTACCCTAAGTGCTAAAAGTGTGAAATACATCTTTATTAAAACAATAACTGTCGGAGGACAGTAACGCTAGACTATTCCAAAAGTTGTCACAAGGGTGTTTCATTGAGTATAATAATGCTTACCTATATGAATACATAAAATTGTCCAAAAAGGGACAAACCCTTCAGTAGTTATGGAGATACCGCAAAAATTTACCTAGAATTTCTAAGTCGAAAAAGGGGCATCATTATGCAAAAAAGTAAATCAGACTTATGGAACTTGTGCCAATCATCTTAGATAATCACAGACAACACGAGTGTGAAGTTTCAATCCATTCCCTTCTGTAGTTATGGAGATACCAGCTTACATGCAAAAACTTAACCAAGAATTTCTAATTTGAAAAAGGTGCATAATTATGTTAAAAAGCATGTCAGAGTTATGGGACTTAAGTCAATCATCTAAGATAATCATAGACAACAAGAGTGTGAAGTTTCAATCCATTCCCTTCAGTAGCTATGGAGATACCAGCTTACACGCAAAAACTTAACCAAGAATTTCTAAGTCAAAAAAGGGGCATAATTATGCAAAAAAGCAAATCAGAGTTATGGGACTTGTGCCAATCATCTAAGATAATCACAGACAACAAGAGTGTGAAGTTTCAATCCATTCCCTTCAGGTGTTATGGAGATACCAGCTTACACGCAAAAACTTAACCACAGGGACGCAGACACCGACAAATGGGCGACTGCATTAGCTCGATTATTCTGCGAATAGTAGAGCTAAAAATTATTTTTGCTTTAAGTTTTGATTTTTTTGTTTTCTAATCAACCACTAGCCTGCTGGAAGCAAATGAAAATACCCATGCTATCAATGCAAACTTAGATCAGCCAGTGCAACTGAGCCATCTGATCAGGGTCTGCACTGTTTGTAAGTCAATAAATGTATTGAAAATTTCCCTAAAATCACAATGAATGATTTTGTCCAAATTGAGAGATGGATAAGTCCATTTAAAATATTTAGCATGGCAGGGTCTTTCAAACATAAATCTATTTGAAAGATCCTGAGCATTGTGAGGGTTAAGAAGGTTTCAAATATCAAAATGCTGACTTGGCAGAGCAGTCTGGACTGCCTTAATTGCATATAGGTAAGTTCTCATTACTATTACCAGTAAAAAGATTATTCATAAAATACTTAAGACATGCTTTGAGCGTAGTTGAAGTAAGCCAGGCACAAATCAAGTATTTCTATTAACGATAACATGAGCTTAAAATGAAGAAATGGTAAAAAGATGAATTCAAGTTACCTGTATTCTTTAAATTCGAATTTGTGAAATCCAAAGATGCTTGAGAATTCTGCGAGGACTCTGTGTCAAATGATGACGGAAACAGCAGCAACTCCTCAATGTCACTTGTATTAACCATATTAGACATACTGGATGATTCCCTGGAGTCTGATGTAGCATTATCTATCACCATTGGTGAATTCTGCTCACTAGACAACAGCAATGTTTCCTCTATGCCTACTTTTTTATCAAATAGTCTAATTCCTAATTGGGCATCTGATATAAGATTATCTTCAAGAGTCATTTCAGTGTATTCATTTGTAACGCTGTCAGTCTTTGATCCTTCACTGATTTCAGTAACATTCTCGGCAAGGGGCTCTAATCCTGTAGGTTCAGACATTTTTACAGATTCTGATTCATTTTCTTGATCGCCAGATTTAACTTTACTGTCACTATCCAAGATATCCTGCTTTGCCAATATCGAACCTTCAGTTTCCCCTGTCACATTCAAACCATCATCTTTTTGAATTTCAGGAGCCACTGTAGGCAATAGCTGGTTTTGTACCATACTCTGAACTGGATTCATTTGAACTAACCTTGGAACAACATTATGCTGCATCAGCGGCTGGGTGAACACTTGATTAATACTTAATTGATTTGCGACAGAGAAAGTTTTCTGCTGGAAAGGGTTTGTGGCAGTAGAGATGACTGGGCTTAAGACAGATGATGGAACCTTAGTAGCCATCAGATCTGGATAAACAAATTGTGGTCTTGGTTGACCCTGGGCGTTCATCTGTGACGGGTACGCAAGCTGTCCGCCCGGTTGGAAACTGATGTTTTGAAATACTGGTGAAGCTGACATAATCATTGGGACATTGCTATGTACTACAGGAACTGTGTTGCGAACCACAGAGGCGGTGTTTGGTACCATGGCCACTTTGTTTTGTACGACTGATAGTGAGCTTCGTACCCCTGAAACACTGTTCTGCACCACACAACCAGCGTTTTGTACCATGGAAACTCTATTCTGAACTGAGGGCATCTGACTACCAATTTGAACAGTCTGTGGATAAACTATCTGAGCACCTATTTGTTGCGGGGTTGCAGAACGATTCTGTGACAAAGGGCCAACATGTCGGTAAAGAGCTTGAGCAGTAATTGTAGGCTGGGCTCTAAGGCCAGATTGTGAAACTGACACAGTCTGTTGATATAGTGGCTGTATGTTCATTCTGGTCTGTTGTCCAGTTAAACTCTGGGAGACAATGCCACTTTGTGGATATGGAGTAGCCATTCTTGGCTGAGACAAAGGCATCTGTGTAATAACTCCAGTCTGCGGGAACAGGGCCTGGGCAGTTAATCTAGGTTGTGTGGTAGGCATTGTTTGGGATATTGATGTACCATGGAACACTTGAGGTACAATATTCCCTCTTGAAATTACTTGTCCTTGACCTAGAATACAAAAATAATGATAATACAATCAAAACTCAAACTATAAGTATAATAAAAACTTTGAATTCAGCTCAGATAATATCATACACATGTATAGAAATAAAAAAAACAAAAATAAAGGATAATAATGGTATTATATATCACACTATCCTTTTAGACGAGTATGATAAGCAAAATTGAACCATTTCTAATCACTAGAATTCAACTGTTTTCCAAATGTTATTGATTGTAGTATTCAAAAATAGATTCTTTGACTTTCAAGGCTCATTTGTCACAAAGTACCAACGTTCACTCTTTAAAAATATTCTAATTCCGTAAACCTTTTAAAACCTTTCCCTGAAGGTTACCTGTTTTCTTAACAGTGATGAAAAAACAACAATGTCAAACAACAAAATATTAACAATCACTATACAAAGATCAATTGAGGCCTTTTTAGTTCCAATCTAGCTGTTGAGAAAAATTGGTTTATAAATGTAATTTCCTACGTTATTAAATAATTAATTTATGCAGAAAAACAATATTATATACATCCATGGATCATTGTTTTACAAGCATACCTTGTGGATTCATCATTGGGACAGCCACTTGTGGAACTATATTTCCCAGTGGAGATTTTATGGGACTCACTGGCACAGCCTTTGGTCTCAGTGTACGAGGCACATTGACAAGAGCCTTTTGCCTGTTGTTTGGATTCATTTTGCTTAGTGCTAATCAGTCACCATTCATTGCTCTAAAATATATTCTCTGGAATGAAATAAGAATATCAATATACTTTATTATTTATTACTGTAAATAACAAGAGCTGTCGGCAGGACAGCACGCTCGACTATTCTAAGTGCTTGATAGTAAAAGAGCCTTGATAATGTTAAATTTTTTAAGATCACAAAAGGTCTAATTTTTTTTTAATAAATTCATGTTATAGGCCTTAGAGAGAGTCTAATTATACAGTATTGGCTTGACTATTCGGAAGGTAATGTCACAAGGTTGTTTTATTGAGTATAATAATACTAATTACCTATGAATACATAAATTTGACAGAAAAGGTACAAAGGCTTCTAATTAAGATGTTTTATCAAGTAAATCACTGCTTTATTATTATGAATGCATAAAATTGTCCCAAAAAAAGGCACAAACCCTTCAGTAGTAATTGAGATAACAGCTTACAAGCAAAACTTTACCATGAATTTCTAAGTTGAAAAAGGGGAGAAAATCAGCCTAAATGCAAGATAGAATTATGGATCTTTGTAAGTGACCTACAATTATGACCCTAAATGCATATGTGAAGTTTTAAATAAATATCTTTAATAGTTATTGAGATATGTAAAACTTGCATGTAAACATTAACCAAGAGACTAAGTAGAAAAGGGGATATGAATCAGCCTTAATGCAAGATAGAGTTATAGAACTTGGTCAGTGACATACAATTATGACCCTCCAATTATGACCCTAAGTGCATGTGTAAAGTTTCAAGTAAATATCTTTGAAGACCTTTAACCTTTAACCAAAATTTCTAAGTTTCAAAGGGGCAAATAATTCTTCAAATTTTGCAGGCAGAGTTATGCAATTTTGCAAACTGATGTACATTGTTACTATAAAAAAGTATTTTATTTCAATTGAATATCTCAAGCAATAATTGAGATATTTGACTTTACAAAAAAACTTTAACCAAAATTTCTAAGTTCCAAAGGGGCATAATTCTGTCAATATTGTAGGCAGAGTTATCCAACTTGTCAATCTGATGTACATTGTTACTATAAATAAGTATTGTAAGTTTCAATTGAATATCTCAAGCAATAATTGAGATATTTGACTTTACAAAAAACTTTAACCAAAATTTCTAAGTTAAAAAGGGGCGTAATTCTGTCAATATTGTAGGCAGAGTTATCTTAACTTGTCAATCTGATGTACCTTGTTACTATAAATAAGTATTGTAAGTTTCAATTGAATATCTCAAGTAATGATTGAGATATTTGACTTTACAAAAAACTTTACCAACGCAGACGCCGACGCCGGGGCGACTACAATAGCTCTCATATTCTTCGAATAGTCGAGCTAAAAATGTTTTATTTCATTCTTTTGTAAATATAATATATGTAAATCTAATATTACATTTTTCATTTCATTGAATATTAGCACATTCAACAAATTTTAGTGTATTCTGTTATTACATCATCATTCTGTTTTATTGTCAGTATGAAATAACGATTGAGATAAATTAAAAAAAGCTTTGATTTTCATAGAGAGGATACCTGGAGACCTATTTCAAAATTATCTATATTCCCATTTACTTCAAATAGATAGATCTACAATTTCAATTAAAGAAAATATGTTTTCCAAAAATTAAAAAAGTTAAAATTTTGATGTATCTGAAGGAAAACGTCTGCATTTAAAACCTAGGTCACTAGTTTTTGGGTTGGTGTTAATTAAAATATACAAATTTTAGGAAATACTATTTTTCTTTGTTAATTTGCAATGTATCAATATTTCAAAATTTATCTATACTGTATATCATTGTTTATTTACTGTGATCTTTGAAGTTACAAATTAATAAATTAATAGTTAAGCGTATTATTTAAGAAACAAAGTACCCCCAGATTATAGTTAACATGCAACCAGCCTTACATTTACATATTGAAATATCAGTTCGAAAATATTAAGAGACGAATCGTATCCGGTAGAAGGGGGAGGTAACTTGTGAATAAACAATTAAATAAAATCGAAATCATCAATATTTCAAAAGAAAATGAAAACATCTGATGTTAAAAATGTATATATCAACACATTATAAATTTTAAAGAAGTGTTAAACCTTATTCCATTTCTTTCCTCCGATTTTAATCAATAAAACATAAATAAACAAAGTCAAAACTGCAACTTGCGCAAATTGACGGTGCGTGAGAATAACACTCTTTTGCAAATCTACAAATACTACATTTAGTGGTGTTCGAATAGCGGTCCAAAGAATGTACAGACCACATACACTTTGGGTGTGCAGCTTAAAACGCCTTTAAAATCCAAGTAAAATGTATATTTGTCAATCGTAGCACATGTGCTGATAATATATAGGCCTATATAAAAAAAACTTATTATAAGCCGTTTTGAAAGAAAATCATATTTCAAAATTTCATATGTCAACGGTATAGATCTAATAATATAGACGTTGAAATATGATTTTTTTTTTCAAAACGGCTTATATTACGTTTTTTGATATATATGATCAGTACATGTGCTGGGATTGACCAATATACATTTTATTTGGATATTAAAGGCGTTTTAAGCTCCACACCCCAAGTGTCTGTGGTACAGATCGACCTCTTGAATTGCTTAAAAAGTGTAAACTAAAGGTGTTTTAGAAATTTAATCCAACCTTTAAAACAATACTAGATCTATACATGGCGGTAATTTCTATTTCACACGGGCTGATTATCTGTGATAATAATAATAATAATAATAATAATAATAATAATAATAATAATAATAATAATAATAATAATTAATATTAGGCCTACAAGTAATTATAAAGGTTCTAAGGTTTTGCCTCTCAACCCAGGGATCATGGGTTCGAGATAAATTCCGGTCAGGACCATGTTTCTTCGTATGACACCAGTACTATTTAGTTGCAGGAAGCGGAATCGAAAGTGATTAATATAAATTACAAGAACTTGTTTCGCACTATAGAGATTAAAAATATGCTTAAACCAAGAATTTAGTACCGATATCCCCGGTCCTAGTTATCTCCTACGTAGGAGTTTATGTTTTGTATAGAACATTATGAATTGGCACCAGGACGCTTCCGTAGTTTTATTTTTATTTCGCAAAAGCTTTTTACTTTAAGCGTCGTATCATAATTTCCAAAAAGTTACTCATTTGCCAATTACATGAACCATATTTTTGCTTCTGTTGCTATTCAGCAATTTGTTCAGTTATAGTGATTTAGTATTTTGTGGGAAATCAAAGTACTACTTTGTTAACATTTTTCTCTACTTATGACATTCAACGCTGCTTTTTCAGGAGATAAGCATCTATAATACACTAAAACTATTATTAAGATTTAAAAAACTTCATGACTACCCTTTCTTATTCGTTTCTGAGGCATAATGCAACTTAAGAACGAGTTGAACGAGTTAAATATTATCATATTATTCAACGAGTTCACGAAACATAGTAATGAAATTTCACGAACATAATTTTATATTAATCACATATCTAAGGTAGGAACTGTTTACGGCAAGGGGCATGGCGTGAGGTGGTTGCACATTTGGTTCAAGCAAACGAAATGGTCGCAAACAAAATGGCTACCTACCGAGTCATGGATATATATATAATGCCCGAGTCATGGATATATATAATGCCACCACTATAAATTATTTTCTCCAGGTAAGTGAATGTGTATATTATTTTATTTTTTTGAAAATTGTCTATTCATTAAGGCAATGTTTATGACACTCTCGGATTTTGCTTTCAGCTTTTTAGTTTCTGATTAAACGAAGTTATTGAAGATATAAACTGGTCATGTGCATATATTTAGATTTGACAAGTAACTTTTCTGGTCGTTTTTTCTCCTCATGTTAACATTCACATTTGTAAGTTTTGAAGTTCATCAAACAAGACAAAATATGTTTTCAGCGAACCCACTGGATGCCGCAACAGATAAAAGAACAAATTATTTAAAAGCGGCATATAAAGTTTTAGAAGCCAGAGTAATCAAAAGACTGGGCACATGATCGAGCGATTTCTACTGGAGCCGCTGGATTTGTGATCAAACATTGTTATCAACTAGAATATCGACTCTTTTGGAGATAGAAGTGTTCATATAAATTCATATAACTCTATTGACACTTTTATGTTTTAGATGTTTCTAAAGCAAAATATTGTGCGCAAAACTTGATTTCCTTGTTGATGATACTTATAAGTTAAAGTTAATTTGTCCTTAAGGTTTTCTATGAATTACGGTTTGCACGCGATAGTATGACATAATTATTCCCTCGGAAGCTATTATGTGCGCGTGCACACGCTGGCTACATCACATACATGATGGCTTTCGCGTGTGCACGTATTCACGTTAGGTACGCAATATGTAGTAAATTAAGAAAAAACATCGTATGCCCCCTTTATGCCACCGTTATAAACAGCTTACACATACAATTGACTTGCTTGACTTGCAATGATATAATACAAATGTACATGCATCTCCCGAGCGAAATAATGCATTAAACTGGCGTGGGTGCTGGTTTATCGTGTGATGATTACAAATACATGTAAATTAGTTTTAGCCATGCGATTGGTTCTTTTTAAAAAAAATATATATCTTAAAGCGGTCAATAAACATTTACTTCTTTAGATAGGGCAAATTTATTTGATTTTGTGTACAGTGTATACAAATACCAGACTTGTGTACCAAAGCTTAACTTTTACACATATTTTTCTTGTCAATTCACTAGCATCAACAATTGTTTTCTCAGTTATTATATTTGTTTCATTTCTTCACCTGGTCTTTGAAATAGACTCGATCGACGCTTGCCATGAACCTGATGAATTTTGAATAGTTCATAAGATATTAGGTGTTTCACTATCAATATATAAGTCACCAACATTAACGAACCTGATCAAACTTTACATATGTGGTGGCAGAATTTACTTTCTTTTTGGTTCCAGCAGATTGTGGGTTACTGACCTTTTTATAAATTATACTCTTTAAAAAAGGCGTGTCCATATCAATTTTTGAGAAAAAAAAGGTTGTGAAGGTTGGTCTAATTTGTTTGGTTTTACGGCGCACCAACACAATTAGGTCTTATGGCACTGAACCAGGGAAGATGATTTTGGTTACAAACTTAAAGCAGAACCAGCGGTCAAAACCATCTCACCCACTGGAGCCAAGAGAAGCATACTCCAGTAATTCGAACCCATTTAGTCGCCTTTAAGATCACGCAGGGATAAAAGGTGGCTGCAATTCTGATGCCTCGACACTCAGACACAAGAATTCTTAATTAATCAATACAGTTACTCCAAAAACAAACAAACATTTTATGACACGCCTCTATGCTTTAAAACTGTCACAAGAGGCCAAATAGAACAACTTTTCTTCTGCCAGTGAAATAGAAAGAGACCAGACATGAAATTATTCCAAGTTCATTACAAGATGCAGACACATATAGCTAATAAATGGCGATAGAGGGTCGACATAATTTAGTGAGACAGAAAGACAGGCCAATGCAGACATTATGTCATAATTTCTGACATGAACTGCTATCTTTACATTTATGCTGTATCAATTCATTTAAGTCAACTTCATGGGAGACCTTGGGGGTGGGGGAGCTTACTACTTTAGCCAAGTCTGTTTCTCTGTAAAGACGATTTAATTATTATCCACTCTTCATACTTGTAAGTATGGAATATCCACTTGCAAGTCAATTTTTCAAGAGTCTGGGAACATCACACTGACTTTTAAAGGAACTCCACTGAGGTCCAAAAGCCTAAAATATAAAATCTGAATATCTACTCAAGTGCTTTAAACAAAAGATATGCAAAAGAAAATTAAGAAATATTCTCAGAAATAAATTGAAAATCATATTTTTGTGCTATTCTTAGCCAGATTTTAGTGAAAAGAGTTGCAGCGCTTTTGAATTTTGGGTCATTTTCGGCAGTGGAGTCCCTTTAAGAACTCAATCTTGTATTGTCTCTTTTTTTCAACAGGAGTTTATTGTGAAAGGAACAAAACAAAATATAAAGCACGAAAGCCCATTTATTTCACTGAATATGTACATATCTTTAATAAAATGTAATATCAACATACAGTAAATCATTTACATTCAACAAACTGACATATTCCTGCTATGAGAGAAATATATCACATAAAGTAGTACTAAAAGAGGTCACATGATAAAAACATGAATTACTCAGTCAATCTTTTTATTATTAAACTTTCTATTGTGAAATAATTACTTCATTTTTAGACTGAGGCATGGTCTACTAATTCTACACTTACTTATTAAAAACTTTACCTTTAAATATTATTAAGGTAACATTGCAGAGTCTCATTATTTATTATGGTATTATGTAAGTATCTTTTGGAACATACAGATTAACATAATTTCTATGCTCTCATACGTTTATATATCTGCAAAGATGCGATTGGAAGTCATTGTATACTTAGAAAATAGAAAATCTTAAATCAGTTTTGGTATATTCTTTGAAAATAACATTATATTTAACATTATTTCATACAAGACAATGATGTCATTTATTTGACAATGATGCCAGATAATTTTTGACAATGATGTCATATTTCACAATAATAACAAATTTGACAATGACATCATTTTTCACAATAATACAATGTACCAAATTTGACAATGATATCATATTTCACAATAATACCATATTTGACACAGACATGGGTACCAACACATTTTAATGATGTGTTTACAAATGACACAATAGAAATGTACCCTACACCTATAATTTGTTAAAACAATTAAAACAGCACTTAATTTATAATATTAAAATAAATAGCTCAACCTTGATTTAGTTTTGAAATGCATCATTATTATTAGCTCAGCCTAACTTTAACTGTATAAATAAGATATAAAGAATATTGAATGAGTGTAGGTTCAATACTGAATTTATTGAACAAGTTAAATAAAATTGTATTATGCGAGCCTCTCTGTTCAATAACTTCAGTAATGAACCTATATGAATATAATATTCTATTTATCACATACCCAAAATAAAGACTGTATAAAGTGCAAAAAGAATCAGTTTTTAATTGACGTGCCTATAGTGTAATGCTAACATTTAGCGAGTCTTTACACTATGTTTGTATAATGCAAATGATGTCACATCAAAATATATGCACAATTGTGCAATACCATTTTTAGTTTTTTTACAGAGTCACAAAATTGGCACGGGTAGG